TGTTCTGCATCATTGCTATGTACAAAGAGGGAGTTCAAAGGTATTTACCTATCTTTCCCTAATAAAACTGAACTGAACTGAACTGACTTCGACGACCTTGGTTCGATTACTGTCGCTTAAAGCAACCTTTGCAAGGTGCAAATTTAAAGATGGCGAAAATAGCAAGATTTATTGGATCCATGACATTTTGAGAGAGCTCTTCAGTTGCTGCTTCTCATTGTGTAACATGAATCACGCAAGAAAAAATACAAATTGAAGTCATACAGAAGAATCGATACAAATACCAACATCATAAAAAATGGCAGAAGCTAATCAATAGCATAGGAAGGTTAAAACGCTATGAGCAGCAAAAAACGGGGAAGGACGTCTTAGGTAAAAAACGTTGGGAGGGGAATGTGTAAAGAGGGAGCCAGTGTTACCACGGCAGATTTAGGTTCAATACATGCTTCAGCTGTTTGCATAGGTCGGGTTTGAACCGCCGCATGTAGGCTGCCTCCAGGTAGCGTAAGGTAGCAGTTTTTCGCGCCCGAGCAAGAACTCGGAAATAAGTTTTGGGGTCGGCAGAATGGCACCTTTCTAGCAGATGTTCAGTAATCGATGAATTCAATTTGTATTTTTTCTTACGTGATTCGTGTTGCGCAATAGAGGCAGCAACTGAACAGCTCTCTCGAGATGTCATGGATCCAATAAATCTTGCTGTTTTTGCCATCTTTAAAATAACTGTCCTTCACAAAATTTGATCTGATAAGATTTCTTCTTTTTTCGCCGCATAATCCTTCCTATCCATCAGTATTATTATTTAGCCTTTGTCCTGCCTTGTAAGCACGATAATTTCATTTTCACGAACCTCCATGACACTATTGAGATGGTAATTTTTAGGAGGCTTTTTGCTTCTTGCAGTCCACCGTCAATACTGTTGACAGCAGTTTACGAGAGTCGATTTAAGACAATCCACTTTTCTAGGCTCGTAGGGTATTATATCAGCAGTCTGGCTAAGAAGAATCTCGAATTCATTTAGTTGAAATTGCCTCTGTCGTACAATGCAAAACTTAGCACCCAGAGCAAGTAATTCTAAAGAGATTTGTCATGGCCCACTGAAAAATTGTTATGAACTTGATGCACAGGATTGTTTGGAAGAAATGTCTGAGAATTCACTGGTAGGACACTGCAAATTATTAGTCCACCTAACCCCATTTATTTTTTTCTAACAATCTGCATATTGAGCATGCGGGAGGTAAATATACTGTCCAAAATTTAGTCTACAATCAAAAATGTAGTCCAAAATAAATAAAGACGGCCCACACAGCGCTAACATTAGCAGCAGAAACAGAGGCGAACAAGAAACTCGCTTTCCTAGAGATCCTCTTACACAGGCAAGAGGATGGCTCGATACAACGCCGACTATTTGGAAAGAAAACCTGGACTGAGTAATGCGTTAATTTCCACAGTTTCGTTCCCCTTAACGTCAAAGGGAACTTAGTCCAGGGAATGGCAGCCAGAATACGCCGTAACTGCTCTCCTGAAATATGGGGAGTAGAATTGCAGCAGCTAAAAGAAACACTCCATGAAAACGATTATCCAAAAAGGTTCATCCTTCAGAACATCAAGGAGCGTGTCACAATGGTCGCAGTTGCAACGGCGGAAAAGAAAGACCTATTCATAAGACTGCTGTTTATGGAAGACGCAACAAGTGAACTGGTACGACGACGCCTGAGGACAGCAGTCACGAATGCTTTCCCGGCGGACAATTTGCGCGTGCTCTTCATGAACTCTCCCCTTCTACGAATGGGAGGTAAAGACAGACTACCGTTTTAGGCCACATCGATGTGTATCTATTCTTTCACCTGGTCCTGTGGAGCGGGATATATTGGCCAAACAACGCGACGTATGGAGGAGAGAATACGCGACCACATACTGGCATGGCTCAACCAGGGAGAGAATAGACCGATCTCAAGCTCAACCCCCGCCCACCTAATCGATACGAACATACAAGTGGACGTAAGAGAAGCCATGCCGGTCATATACCACACGCCGACACATTTCTCCAAAGGCCTGCGTAAACCGGTGTTAGCCGCAGCAGTGACAGTGGCAATCAGGTTAGTAAAACCAAGTCTATGCTGTCAAACAGCACTAGTACAATCAATTTGCCTCCCTTGGCCAACTGCACGCGGAAATCCCACACCTACTGAAGCCACGCCGTCCGAAAACACACAAAACGAAGCAACGGGGAATAGTCAAGCGCACGCTACGGCTGGCATACAGACCTCAACCCGCTGACCGTCAGAACATCCGCTCTGTCTTCTCTGCGCATCGCAACCAACGTCCTACCCGCGCAGGCGCCCGCAT